TGAAACCGCTTTTTAAGGGCGGTGAATGACATGGGGGCTGGACGTGCGTGTCGGGGAGCGGCAGTACCGCTGGGGTCGTGTTGTCCGAGGTATAAACCTGACGGGTTTTGTGCGCGGACAGGTAATCCTGCTCGGCACTCCTCGGTGTTCGCTGTCATCGGCCGCAGTGCCGCGCGGGTGGGAGGATTGAGGGCTCGCTGCGCTGCTTTTTCAGAGGTTCCGACACACGTGCCTAAATATAAAGCAGGAAAAAAACCCCAAGAACTAGGCAATCTGATTTTGGAAATTAATCTTGCATTTTATTTAAGATGGGATTCCAACCACATTGAAGTATTTAAGTCCAGTCACTTCTTTGCTGCTATCCCAGGACTTAGTCTAGTTGCTTGGCTTTTCTATTTTTGTGGCAATACTCTCCTCCTATTTATATACAAAAAGCCTGTAAGTAAAACCTTATTTCTTTCCCACCTTCCAGAACGTACCGTAATCTGTTCTCAGGCACCCTAACTGACCTTGCTTCATTTGTTCTCTTGGGTTTATCTTGTAGAGATCGATAGATCTGCATCTTGGCTTTCACTTTCTGCCCTGTTGGCAGTCTGACGGCGTCTTGGTCTTTTCCGAGTGCCATCTTCTCGATGTATTTTTGATAGCGTGTGCACTCTTCATGCTCTGTTTTTAATGGTTTCAGTGTAACTGCCTGATGACTGAGGGGAGAACAAAAATCTGCTCTGGTATGATTTTGAAATCCTCCAGTTGTCAGATCTCTGTGCTGTACAACCTGCATACTTGTTCTATTTAAACTCCATGTAAACAGAAGTGCTGGGGTTTCAAGGCCCGATCACTTACAGCTGTCTTCCAGCATTAAGTCCTGAACAGAACAGTTAACAGTTAACAACCCTTATGAAAACAGCTTTTAAAAATATGTAAGCCCAGTAATCCACTTGGGCTGGATAAGGCTCGGGTGGACTTTTCACTAGATTCCTACACTGCTTCATCCCACAGCTCCTACGCTGAAGATCAGTGTCTGTCCGGTTTCCTCCTCAGAGACAGCATGGCTTCACAGAGCCAAAGAAGAACAAGTGTTACTAAATTTAAGCCTCAAGCTAAACTTCAGGTTCCTATAGAACCAGCTTCCTATCGTGGCTGTGGCAGCTGTCTCACTTCCACTGTGTTTTCAGCTGGTTCAAATGCCTTTGAGGATGGAAGAGTCTGAGCAGTCAATAGTTTTAGCATATGCTGATTCATTTGCTACTATTTAAGGTAGGCCACTGTTAGTAACGTTGACATAACATTTTAGCATTCTCTCTTGACTGCCTATTACCGGCTTACTGCACAGAGTCTGGTATCTGAAAGGCTGCACAAAGGCCTCTGGAGCCATTTAAGGTGATGAAACCATCTTGCAGAATTGATGTTCCTGAGAGACTTCCTTGAAGAAGTACAGAGGTGGATGAAAATGGCTAGAGGAATTAAAAAAAAAGACAATAGAAGGTTGTGGGAGGAGACCATAATGTATTACCAAATAGTAACACTGTTTTAATACCTAGTTGTATTTTCAGAGGGCATTTCCAAACTACTACAGGAGCAGGGAAGAATCCTCAAATCCTCGTATTTCAAATAAAGATTAAAAATGACTGTTCTATTTTTACAGGTTATCTTATGAATGAAAGAGCTGAACAGATTGTTCATGAATTCTAGAGGGCACCTAGGTTGAAGCAATGGAGAGAATGGTACTAGTATGCATTTTATTTTTAGACTGTAAAAAGACATTGATTTCAAGAGAAAAAATGTTCTTTCTGATTGCAGTAAGTAGCAGCAGATACAGGAGATAAACTCTTAACCAGTTCATAAACGTCTAATGACTCAGTTCATTTGAAACCTTACGGGGGGCCTGCAAGCTGTGATCACAGATATCATTTCTTGACAATATCTGGTACTTGTTCAGGCTTCACAGAATACACATTTTTGTATTTTGGTTTACGAGCACTTTTCTTTGACTTATTTTGTTGGAGAACATGCACCATAGGCCTCTTTCTTAGAGGGTCTTGAAGTTTCTGCTTGTTTGCTGAATCCGCCTTCTTATTCAGAATTTGCTTCACAGGAGCTGTGGAGATGTCTCGTAAGAGCCCTTTTGCCTCCTGGCTTTGTGCTATGCTCCACTGCTTTGGAAGTTACATACTTGCCAATCTGTTACTTGGAGAACCGCCTATTGATTACTTCAGTAATAACTCCAGTGTCATCCTGGCCACAGCAGTCTGGTGAGTCTTTTGCACTTCACCTAATTTATTAAGCACGAGACACTGCCGGCTGTGTACGAAACCATCTGGGGTGAAGGGAGGTACTCTGTTTGTGTGACACACGTGTATTATCTTGCTTGGATTAACTGGGGAAAGAAAAGGTGGGGTGAGGTAGTCTTTGAGTCTTTTGTATTCCTAGATCTAGTTTCCAGTTTCTCTGACCAGTTGTCTAACGCTTTGATTATACGGGTTGGGTCCGGTCCAATCGCCAGGCGTTTCTATTCATAGCTGCCGCAGCTGAACTGTGGCCAAACCGCAAAAGCAGCATGCACTGCACCGATACCACTTAGAGTAGAGGAGTGGCACACACTGAAGATTTGGGGGCATTTTATTCATCATGTTAGTGAAATGTGCACAAATTAACCACAGTTACTGCAAGTTTAATTTCCTTGGTGCGTTTGGGTTGTATGTGCTTTTGCATGACAGAACCAGCATTTCCTTCTCCCTGACATAATTCAGGCTAACACCACAGTACTCTTAATCAATCCTCTCTATACGTCCCAGATCAGGACAAATAGATGCGTCCTTAAACTCTTTGTGGTTTTGTTCCAGGTATTTGATATTCTTCTGTCCCATGAACCTCTTCTACAAATGTGTTAGCTTTCTGCCTATGAAACTCATCTTTGTGGCAATGAAGGAGGTGGTCAGAGTTCGCAAAATTGCAGCTGGGGTCCACCACGCTCATCACCATTACCACCATGGGTGGTTCATTATGATGGCTACTGGATGGGTCAAAGGTGAAACATGAGATACTCTTAATGCAGCAGGGAGGCACCCAGCCCTGTGGGGAGGGATGGGAGAATCTGTAAGCGAAGCTTAAGGTGACATCGCTCAGTGCTGACCAGCAGGTGGGTTGGTGGATGTGGTCTGCTGGCTTCAATCAATCAAGTTCCCTAGAACACAGGTATTTATTCATACTTGCAGAATGGTTGTCAGTTGAGTCATCATCTAACTTTAATGGAGGCAAGAAGAACTGGAGTCACTATGAAATATGGGTGTAGAATTCTTTGTTCTTTCTCCTGTGTTCTACCGTCTCTGGCCTCACCTGTACCTTTTGGGGGGGTTTCTATCAGTGTTGAAACAGCCCAGTCAGTTTTCCTTTAGCTTTTGTTCGGAGCAAGCATTTGAGCATCAATAAACGGAACAGAGCCAAATGCTCTTTCCCTGCATCAGGAAACACTTTATAGAAAGTCTAGAAAGTGTTTGCCCTGCTCTGTTGTTCTAGGCTAACTTCTTTTACATTTGGGAAGAATGTCATGAACCTTTTGTTCCCCTTAGGTTATCCTTATCCCTTGGGGATCTAGAAAAAACAGCAGAGCTCTCTTCCGGTGTGGCAGTTCTAGCCGTTCACTTTTACTGTTTCACAGGTTCTGGTGTTGCCTTGATGTCTAACTTTGAGCAACTGCTGCGTGGGGTCTGGAAGCCAGAAACAAACGAAATTCTTCATATGTCCTTGTAAGTAGGTAGCCTGTAAATTCTCTTTCAGACCAAAAATGGAATTTAAAGAACCATTCAGGACTGGATGCAAATGATGCAAACCTCTTAGAAAACTTCTTTATTTCTCTTCTAGCCCTACAAAGGCTAGTCTGTATGGCACAATCCTCTTCACTCTGCAACAAACTCACTGGCTCCCTGTCTCTGAAGCCAACCTCATCTTCTTTTTCACCATGTTCATGATAGTTTGCAAGGTAAGTTTACAGCAGGTGTGCTGCTAACAGATCTACAGAGCCAGAGAAAAGGTACAGACTTAAACTGGGGGTGTTCACCTTCCTAAGCCACTGTCGAAGGCATTGGCTGTACATACCAGGAAAGATCTGCTCAGGAAATTATAGGCTAAATTCTCCATGATATAGGCACTATGGTAGAAGATCCTCGTGATATAGCCTTGAGTCATGTAACAATAGGGACTTTTATCTGGGGTAAGTGGAATGCTCCTTACTAGTTAGTATTTCATAGCTGATGTACATAACCTTTAAGTATTCACTGTTGCATGGCAGGTTTTCATGACGGCAACTCACTCTCACGCCTCGCCTTTTGCTCCAGTGGAAAGCTTCATCTGTCCAGTTTTCTTTGGCTCTGTTTCTAGTGGACACACTAGTCATCATCATGATCAGCATGGGGCCTCCCATGAGGTTTCCCATCCTCCGCCTCCTCCTGCAAAGTCAAAAGAGGAGCTAAATGAAGGCACAAGGAAACGGAAAGCAAAAAAAGCTGAATAAAAAAGCAGCCACACAGTAAATAGGCCAAGAAAATTCTTCCAGAGCTGAGTCTCAAAACCACCTGTGACCTCCTTTATTCTCCAGTCCTTCTCTCTCAGACTGCAGAGGAGAGGTGGAAGCCAGGACACTGCCAGGCAGGTCCCTGAATTTCACTTGTGCTGTCTGTGCTGCTGCTTGCTTCTTGGTCTCTGTCTCTCTATTCTGATCATATTTTCAGGGATTTGTAGATTTGTGCCAGGATGATAAGTGGGTGCCAGTTCCCAAGCTGTCAGCAATTATGATGCAGCATTTTCAATTGATGTAAAAATCTTTCACTGTGTTTATTTATGAATGGAGGTAATGGTTTGTGCTCCTGCAACTCCTAAGTTCCTTTGAGTTTTCATTGACTTTTTTTGATGTCTACCAAAGCAACAAAGTGTTTGGACACAATCAATGTGGAAATTGGATTTCATAGTCAAGGAAATTAAATGGTCTGATATGAGCCTGATCTAATTTTTCCTAGCTCCCACATCTGCCATACCTCCAATTCATGTGACATTTTATATGCAATAAGGACATTGACTCTGGTGTCCTAGCCAAACTCTGTTTCTCTCACCTAATTTCCCGCTGATTGTTAATGGATAGAACATTGTCACTTTCTTAACTAAGTCTGTGTCCGCAAGAGCTTTGAAGCTGTGAAATGCTCTGAGTGCTATGTATTGGTACTGTTATTATTCTAAACTGTTGTGTAGCGTTGCTGCACGTTGTTAATAATAGTGTGTCCCGCCTCAAACCTGATCATATTCAACTAGGGAAGAAGCATGGTTCTGGTTTGTTTGTAATCCAAGGGGATACAAGAAGGGTGTGTGAGTGTAAGTAAGTATTTATTACTATTTATTTATAATTGCCAGGGCATCTAATTCATGGACCTGAAACTGGCTTTTTTAAAACATTGCATCTTTATATAGAGAATTGGATACTTCTAAGTATGGTCCTAAGCCCACAGCTACGTGCTGGTTTGTGCTTGAAGCAGTGATTTTGGTGTGCTAAAGGACAGCCTGAACACTCTCACTGGATGCAGGAAGGAACATTTCCTATATTCTTAAATTCAGATATAAAGGCTGAAGAAGTAGATTTCACACCAGCTGATTAAAACTACTTTAAAGGACTAATAAAAGCACACGAGCTGAAGATACCGATTGTCCTTTGTGGGTCCCTTTTGGCCAAACTACTGGTCTGTGAAAGCAGCTTGTGCCCAATGAGTGAAGAAGAATATGAAATGCCTTGCATGGCTGAGGGAGGAGTCTGTCAGTTCATTCATGTTCTGCTTAGTGAATACTGGCTTTTAGACTAGTTTTAAGCTGTTCTTGTAACTGATTTTGTTCTTAAAAGTGTCATCATCCAAGGGCTGGGATCACTGTGGTGAAAATGGCATGCATGGGGATGTAGCCTTGGGCTTTCAGTTAAGCAGCATATTGTCATCCCTAGCAATAAGGTTTGCTGCTGTCATCTTGCAACCGGGAATATAAATAGGAGGGTTTAAGAAAAGCGTTCTTCATTTTGTTTTTTCTGTCCCTGTTCAAAATTGAAATTGACAGTTAATAAAAAAAAAAAAATTCTTGTATACAACCAGATGAAAGCCAGTACAAAAGGTCAAATGATTTGTGGGCTTGGGTTTTGACAGTGCCTTAATTTTGTGAGTTTCCCTCCCCTTCAGTAGAAAACAGGAATCCTGCCTGACAATACAACTGTCTGGTTTTGCAGATACTGGTCTACTGAAACCTGATGTATCACTAGCATGCACAAGACTGTAAATGTTTTATGAGATGTCTGATTCAAGGGGAATTTTGTTTTATAAAAGCTGTCAACAAATAAAAATTGTGAAGTGACTCTGATTGTCCACTGACACATGAAGAAATATGCGTCTTTCTTTTACTCTCACCAGTCTCAGAAGCCACACACTCCTTGATCTGCTTAAGCTCTCCCTGACCTGTTGACAAAATGATTCCAACTGGAGAGATCAAATTTTGATATGTCCTACAAGTATGCCTGAGCATGTTATAAGTGGAAACAATATGGTAAAAGGTCCATTGCTTTTGTTGTATTTGTAGTGTTGGCATCCAAGCAGACTTTCTGAGATTTCAGGGTGGGAAATAAGGAAACTAACTTCCTTTGGTGTTTATAGCAGTTGACTGTCTTTCCTTTTGTCACTATAAAAGGAAGGAGGACATTCACCTGGGACAGGTAAACATACACATGCACATAGAACCACGCACACAAAATTCTAGCATATTTATATGGATTTTCAGTATTTCTATTTAAAGCTGAAAAAAATCAAAATGCTTTGAATGAGGGTCAATGTTTATTTGGCAAGGTACTCTTAGCTGCTGCTCTCCTTTCTAAGTGCCAGAGTCCTTGCTCTTCAAAGTCTTTTGGACTGACTCAAATCATAGCTGCCTACCAAGAACAGACAGGAGAAATATTCCAAGAGATGTTAAAATTAAAGCTCTGTACACCTTCAAAGTACCTTATCTGGAATGGGATTAGTATTGAGAAGACAACTGTCATAAAGAAGAGTCACAAGTTCTATTTAGTGAAGCCTTTCATAGCGAGAGGTACAGAACCTTTCTTGAATTTCCATGGCTCAGCACTGGTAGTCTTTGGTACAATTCCAGACAGGCGTCCTTCATCCCAAGAAGCAAAGATGGATCTTTCAAAAAGCAGCACGCTTTAACCATTGCTGCTGGGACGCAGGGTTCTACAGAGCTGCTTCTACATTTCTGGGAAGCCATACTTCACCTGCACATACACTTCTTCCTTAAGACTCTTCTCCAACCAGAATGAAAATGGTAGCTGGGCATTTCCGTGAGGGATGGAGTAACTCGCTGCCATGGCACAGAGATGGGAGCAGTGAGGAAAACATGACACAGTCAATCTACCTGGCTCACTAAATGAGGACCTGTAAAGGGCTATTTATTTTCTGAAGGGTTTCTCTTGACTCCCCCCAGATCTAACTCTTGTCAAATGTTTATTAATACTCCTTAATTCATCAGAGCAGTGGAGAATATAAGTTGCATTGGAGTGTGGGATTTAAAGTCTCTGTGTGACCCAACCAATGGAAAAGTAGGTCAGTGCAAGCCTTATGCATATTTAAAAAAAAATCCAGAAAAAAGCATTAGAATGTTTCATGTGGCTTAACCTCTCCTGTGACATCCATTTCAGTGTTATCAATAAATTGTGCTCAGGACCTGGATGGAACAATACGTGAGCAGGCTGATAAGGGTAGGTATTTCAAGTGCTTTGAAAAATCCTACAATGTCTTATCAAGAGTCCCAGGCCATGCTGGCTGTGCAGAATGTTCTCGGCTTCGAACTCTGCTGCAGCACAGGGTAGGAGAGAAGCATGCCAGGGCTTAGATTTCCATGGGACAGACGTCATTCCCTCCAAAGATGTTCTGATCTGATAACTCCTGATACTAACTCTAGTGAGACATAGCTAAATTTAGCAATAGATTTAATCCTCAAAGAGGCCCTGGTTGCCTGATGGAAAAAGCAAAGTGTTTCAGTTGCTGCTCTCAGCATTTCTTGTTGATTGACAGGTTTCCCTTTTCTATTACACAGAGCGAGCCAAACCCAGTGTCTACAACTTTTTCATCATTGCAGATCAGCTTCACAGATACGGAAAGCTCTACAGCCCTTACTGTGTTTGTAGAAAAAACCCAAACCCACAGGATAATTTTACAGAAAACATTAATAATTCTTCACAGTAAATGAACTTAAGTAAAAAAAAATGGGAGGCCAAAGGAAAGAATTTCTATGCTGAAGAGCTTATGTGAGAAAGGGCAAAGCCAATACAATAGAGCGCCAAGCTAGAACAACCAGTGTTCTTGTTTTCCCCTTTTCCTGTTATTATTAATGGCAGTATGTACATTCTTCCACATTTTGTGCAAAGAGTAACCAAATTACATAATCCGGCTAAGCGGAAAGACCCAGGAGATAAAGATGGATGTTACCTTGGCCATGTCCTGAGCAACAGAGAAGTTGTTCCTTTTAACACTTGCCAGGTGATTAGCTGCCAAATGACTGCTTCTTCCTGCACCCTATTTCACAGCTGTATGGTGCTTTAAAGGTGTAAAGTGCTAGATCAGTGCTGAGAGTGTCAGTCCAAATAGCACACAGGACACACAGAAGCATTAAAAATTACAGCTTTATGCATTTCACAGTAGCACATCTTTATTTGAGCCCTTAGCTATAATTGTCTACTTTACGGTTCTTGTGCTATTCTTTAAAGGACCTAACTGGCTACTGTAAGACACAAGACGGAGGATTATATGGAAGGTAAGGCTGGTATAGCATGGCATTTCCTACGGCCTTGGATACCCAGCTTTTTACTGCAGCAACAATTTTTCTCTCAAGGTATTTTAGTTCTTTGCCAAAATAATGAGAAATCAGAACATACATCTATAAAAGATTTTCTAGAAAGCTCATAAAGATAGTTTGGATTTAGTATGAGCTCCTTCCATCTCTACTAGGAAGACAGGACACTGACAAAGCAAACTACTAACAGTGGAGAAAATATGCTATTGATACTGAAGCTGAGACAGTCACTCTGTACACAGAGGGTTCATTTTGCCTCTTTAGGATGCTCTTACTATCGGCCTCAAGGAGATCTGGTTTGTCCTGTGTGCCCATCCACTGTAAGGAAAGACCAATTAAAGGGGTTTGGATTTCATCAGACACAGTGTGGTTCTTACTTGGTAAACACCCACAAAATTACCTCCCAGCTAAGAATTTAATCCTGCTCTCATGTGGTCTGTGAGCAAGCTGTTGGGGGATGGATGATGGCTCATGGAACAGACAGACGGTGAGAAAACAAGTTCCCTATCATGCCAGAGCCCACGCTGCCATCGTGACTCACAGTTGCTACTCACTTCACCTCTGTGATGACATTTCTGACAAAAAGGAGATGTTGATAGCGCTAAGATCAACATTCATAATATCTTTGAGTCTGGTCTCTCTTCTACACTTGTGCATTTGCATCTTTCACACATTATCCCTAGAAAAAGTACCATTTATGATATTTTCTATCACGACCCTTATCTGCCAAAAGACAATTTGGGGAGGGAGTTTTTTAGAGAGCTTGTGAATGTAACCTTTTAGGAAGAATCAGTGTGAGATAGTGATTTCATCTTAGCTTTAGGGTACAGGTAGGCTACAGGCGTGGAATGCCGGAAAACAGGTCTGATATGTTTAGAGGCCTGAACATTTTTATAGCCTGAGGAAATCCAGAATGTCTCTGGAAAAGATTTGGTTGGTTGATTTTGTTTGGTTTTGATTTGCAAATTACAGAAAGCTCACCAGAAACCGTAACACACAGGCTGCATTCCTGCAGAAAGCAAGCTGCTGCTTTTCCAATTATTCCAGCCCCTGATGCTTCTCAATTGAGCTGGCAGATCTCGACTTTCCGAAAAAAGATCTGCTAGTTGGGGACTTCTGGTCCCACTGCAACCCACTGCTTAAATCAGTGAGTGAGCTAATTTTCTTCGATTTGTTAGTGACAAGAATTGATGTAATCAGTAACAATGACAGGTATATGCAGTGTGAGATGCACATAGCACGTCACAGATTGCAGTGCCTTGAAGAACAGTCTAAAAAGCCATGACTTTAGAGTCCTAATGTTGGCTTAAATTAGATTTAGAATAATGTAGGCTAAACCCTAATGTAGGCTCTCTGTAATGTTTGTCTCTTAAGGTAAGACGCTTCGTCTCCCTGGCTGTTTGATTTATGATAGATTAGGATGTCAGTTAATCTCTTCTTATTTGGCTAGATGACTGTGGAGATTAATCAAGTATTGTCTGCAAAAGGAGCCCATAAATACAGATTACTAATTTTTCTTTAATGATTCCTCTGTATGCCAGAGGGATACAGAGGGTGTACAGACAAGGGCAGACACCAGCCTCTTAAATCTCATTTCATGAGAGAAACAGAAAAAACACAGCAGCTGCTCTGGCTGATACTGGTTTTCTCTGACATGCTCAGTTCAGTTTCCTGGAAAAGGCAAAAAGTCACAGAAATAACGGATTATGGTCTCCTGTGAGAAAATAGGGAAGCAGAAAGTGGTTCCAAGTGAGTGAATCTGCTTGGCTGGTATAGCATCATCTCTGTTTTCACAGGACGTGGAGAGAGCAGCATTTCTAATGGGAAAAGCTATACTGAATAAATACAGAAACACATACTGAAACAAACTGAAATAGCAACATGCTGTGAATATTGGAAAACACACCAGCATGGAAGAAAGACATTGAAAAGCATGCTCTGTGAACATGAGATGGAGACACCTATTCTTTTAGGGTTTCTGTTGAGAGGTATGCACCAGTTATCTTTTCTCCCTCTGCATTCCAAGGGCGTTTGGGCAAAGATGTTATTTTTCTACTTGTTCTCCATTGACAGCTGCAGTTTCCTGCCTTTGAGCTCAACAGTTGACACTAAGGGCGAGCACTGCAGCAGCACGCACTGATCCCCTCGGGGTGGGATTAGCAGGTGGGTCATGGATGTTGTCCTGCACTATATAACACAAAACTAGGAGCAACAGCCAAACAGCTTCTGTCGCTGGAGTTCTACTGTTATCTGTAGTATCCTTTGGGAAATCTTTTTTCTTCTCTCTTTCTGATTTCTACCTACTCGCTGGTTTGGGTTTTTTTTATTATTAAATTTTTATTTCTCTCTTTTCCCATGTGCTGCTCTTTTGGGGATGGTACTCCAGTCCAAACATAGCCATAAAGTAGTAAGTACTTATTGTGCACAGTTTAAACGCCTTTTAGTAAATTCACTCTTGCACAGCCTGACAGAAGGCACATAGTGACAGGGCTTTGGCATACTCCCTGAGTATTAAGAAACCTGCTTTACATGCTGAGAGTGCCTGAACCATCCATGATACTAGTACTGGCAGACTTATGTGATGCTAAAATACTGAGACAATTATTTCTAAAATAGGGGAGGGTAGTGAACAAAGGGACCTCAAGTGTACAGCACCTGATAGGGAGCACATTTAGTGCTTTAGAAAGAGACCCTGGGGATTCTGCCCAAGTGACAAACACTGGTTGCTATAGAGATACCAGTCCTCTTCAAATACAGATGGATCGCTCCAGGATGCAGTGAAGTTTCACTGCATCTCAGTGGAGACAGTCAACCATATCCTACTGTTCCTGTCAAAGCAGCTGAAATTTTCCCAGGTTTTCCTTAAAAAAAGGAGCAAGCCAGCTTTCTGGAGAGAGGCACCACAGCGTGGTGTTCACTGCCATTAGTCATCTCCCCTCTAACGAGCAGTGTCTACTGAGGAGAGCTCAGGGAGTCGAGATAGCGGCATGAGCTTCAGTCCAGACATACGCCAGGATCTTCTCTGTGGGAAGATGGTTCCTCTTCCTTTCCAGCCTGGTCCAAATCTTCATCAGCTCAGTTTTTTCAGGTAAATAAGCTAAAAAGTCCTGAAGCTGCTGAATGCATCAGGCACTCCCTCTGCTAGAGTCTGCAAAGTGTTCGAATGTGGTTAGACTACTGTGCTTAGCAGAGACGCTGTAAGCTTGCAGCTTCATTTGAAAGTGAAGAGGCCTATGATCTGCTGCATTTTATATAGAGCTTTACTCTGCCACACCCAATTTGCACTTAGAACACGTCAGAGATGATGGCAGAATTCTGCATTAGTTGAGAAACTAATGGCATTTGCAGTAAAGCCAAATTCAGCCTAGGCACCACTGTGCAGTAATAGCTCAGGGCAATGCAATGCCTGTCTGCACACAAGACAGCAAAGTTTGCAGGCATTCTCAAAACCCTGGACAACACACATTTGATTCCCATCCACCACTGCAACAGCAAGAAATATTTGTGAAGAACTTCTCTTCTTGGGCAATATCCAAATATTTCCCACTTCCTCTGCCTACTGGGACAATTGCCAGACTGAACTCCTGAAGTGGTAACTGGCAGTAGGTAGTAGCAATGACTCAGATTTTCGGGAATTGCAAAACTCAGTTTCCCCTTCTGAAAATCATTCACCCTGTCTCCATTTTTAAATAAGAAAACACAGGCTTAGATAGGCTCTCAATTCCACAAGAAGTGCCTTCCAAAGAAAGAAAATACTGCAGCATCTCCTCCAGCAGGATGTAACGGGATGAATATGCTGTTTGGACAGTGAGGTGTTTCCAGTCTAAGCAGATAGGTCAGCATTTACAGAAACAGTTAGAGCTGCAGTTTCTGGAAGACATGCAAGAACTGCAGACAATCTAAAATTAGTGGGCATATAAGGACACAGCTAGTGTTAAGATTTTACCTACAACACCTGTCCAAGTTGTGGTAGACCTCATGTATTTTCAGGAACAGTTTTGGGATGAAGGATGTGACGTGACTGGATTTTCACCAAAAGACAGGGTTACAAGTTAAACCCACTCTTTCACTGTAAGGTCTGGAATTCATGTGGGCTGGAGTGTAAAGCAATACAAGGATTCCCCGTAACTACTGCAACCTTGGTGAGAGCTAATGAATTATTCCAGGGGTATTATACTGAGAGTGCTTGCTCCCTGTTGGACAGCAGTGCAGACATGGTAATTCCTAACCCAAGGGAGCTCCTTCCTCATCTGATGCTGGCACAGACTTCATTAGTGATCACTTTTCATTTCAAACAGTCCCAAGGAAAGCTGCAGATACAGCCATTCCCCGTCCTAATTTTAGCATTCCCTCTTGTACTACTTTAGCAGTACCCATGCAGTGCCATGAACCTTTACATAATTTGGGGGAAAGAATATCCCAGTTCTGAAGAAATTATAATCTCTCATAACAAAACATATGTAAGGAGAAAAATGTCCTTTATGTTCCCCATGTCTTTCAATTTTGCAGGTGTGAAAAGTATCCATGACCTGTGTATCAGTGAACAGGAGAGGGTACACAGCTGTGGGCGCTGGGAGTGAGCACTCATGCTTGCGTTTGTATGCATACATGCACTTACTTTTCTTCCTATTTGCTTTATCTTCTTAATTTATCTTAAATTTACCTAGTTTGTTGTTTGATTTAATTTGTGAATATGTCACTTAAAATGTGTCACAAAGATTTTTCTAGAAAGTGGTAATCTCTCTTGTAAAAAGCACAGCAGGGGAAGTGGCCATAAAAATTTCACAGACTTGACTCTGTATGAAAAGATTCCCTGTGGGTAGAATTGCCTTTTATTGTGGCTATTTATCACTGCTGAGATAGCCAACAGTGTGGCCAAGTGGTCTTAAAATAGGATGGAGGATTTGCCGCAGTAAGATGCAAGAAATATATTTTTCTGGATCAATGCTGCTGTATTGTGTTCTGTAACTATGCAATCCAAAATTTCCAGATCCAGAGTTTTCATATTAGCAAATAAAAACACAATGGGACAAGCCAGTACAGAACCTTGAAAACGCACTCACATTGGTAATGTAACATGGGCACAAGCCTGCAGACATCTGGAAACCACGGTTTCACAAGACTTCACCACAATGTCATCTATATGAAACTCAACATAGATTAGATGATAGCAATACGAACTGCATTTTCAGTGTAAGGTCTACAATGACAAGTACACAACCTGGCTCCAAATTCCTAACTTCTGTTGTGCTGCACAAATCCTTCCATGTGGACATAGCTACAGAAAGAGAGACCCTCCTGGAGAAAGCATACCCAGAAGCGCAGGCCTTCTGTCAGAAGCACGGCCTAATGTTTGAGGTAAATCACTTCTCTCCTGTCTATCCTGTCCAAAAGCCGTTAAAATATGTGTGATGGAGGAAGAAAAAACCCAAAATACTCATAGGTTTTCCACCTCCTTAGAAGCTGCCTAGGAGTCAAATACTGCTGTACCAATTTCCTATAACTTTTGTATTAAGTTCATTTGTATGCTTGACTTGTATGGATTTCAATGAAGAGTTAGGTGGCTAACCATCTTCAAGCACCTGGACATGAGAGTTTACATCATCCTTTTGTTTCTATATTCAATTGGAAAAAAAGCTCCATGTATAAATTCCACCGGATGTACTTCACGTGTAGTTGAACTAGTCCTAATTATACTAATTTGCATAGAGCTTCTAGCATAAAAGGAGCTATTGAAATGTTTGGGGTCCTTATCTTCTATGATAGAAGACAGGCTTGAAATGTTGGAGCAAATAACGTACAGTCTTGAGATTCCTTGTCCTGAAATATCAATTTGCTTACTTGGTCATCCATGGTCCGAATTCCTAAGCCCTTCAAAGGAGAAATCTCTACCAAGAGATTTTAAATATCTCGGTGTCTTTTGTAGAGTTCCAGTAATTAAAATAGTGTACCACTAGTGTTCATCCTGATCTAAAAATTAAACATGATAGAATGACTTAATTTTCCCATGTCACTGTTTTTGTGATAGTATTGACTAGACTAAGAATCTTAAAAGAAATATTTTTGTGCAGGTAATTGACTTGAGATGGGGTATTTCTGAGCTTGTAGACCCTGATCACAGAAACACACAACTCTCTCTGGAGGAAATTGAAGCCTGTCAGAAACTGTCAGCTGGTCCCACCTTCATCGTAAGTTCTAGCACTGCCGTGCATACTCAATTCCCAATGGCTAAAGTGAGACATAGAGAGCAGGCCACGTGCACTCAGAAGGTCTACTGGACAAGTAAGGTGGTTTTCAAAAGTAATTAGCCTGCCTGAGCAGCTTCACAAATCAGCTAGCAGATGGGGCTGAGATGTCAGTAACTGCCAGTAGTCCCTAAAAGACAAAAGGAGCCCTGACAGGCACGCACGTATAGTCCAGCCCTGAACACAGAGTCTCTTCAGAGCAGAAGATAACAGGGGCTGCGTGTATTAACTAGCAGATATAAGAGGCAGATGGAGACATAAGGCACATAAGGCAAGAAGCTCCAAGCTTGCTTCCTGCCCAATACCTCAATATTGAGGAGGTTTTCTCAGTAACTAAGGAATAAATACAAATTCCCCAGGCAAAGAACCAGAAACGAAAATGCCATAGCAACCACCAGGGACAGAGCAGGGTGTCACGCTGCAAGCTGATACCTGTTCCATGCTTCTGCAAATACTACTCAAATCCCTCCAATCACTCCTCTGAACCACTGAAAGCTCCCCACGGCAGCAGGCCACCTCAGCTTCCTTGAAGCACTTTGGTGACAGCCCCGAACAGAAACCCACACTCAGAACTTAAAGCCTTGCAGAAGGGGAGAGGAGTCTGACGCACCTGTAGAAGTGCCAGGTTGCTTCCTCAGATTGTTTTGGTTTTAGAAAGGGAGAAAAAAAGTTTTGCTGAACAAAGAGAATAAATATGCAGTCCCAGGGAGCATAATTGAAGCCACAAGTAAATAAATAACCAATTAAGTATTTGTGCAAGTTGTGCCTGATTTCCCTCGAGACACTTCCACCAGAGGCCCGCAATGGAAGGGCAGAGACCATGAGAGCTTCACCACAGCATTACTGCACCCAGGAGCTCACAATCGCTGAGCTCCCTGCAGCTCACACCTCTGCTAGCAGTGCTATATCGCATATGCAGATGGCACTAGTAGGCACTCAGGCAGTGTTTTCCTCGGACTGGTTCTCTGTGTGCCTAGATACCTCAGCAGAGCCAGCCACAAAGGTCTGACTACTCCCACTTGTCTTTACGCACCCCAGAAGGGCACTGCTCAAGCATTACACTGTGGGTTTGCACCCTAAGCTCATTCTGGCTGTTTTCAGACTGCATGGATACTGGATGCTGACACTTTTCAGGATCTCGCTCTTTCCCGGCCCAGCCTTCAGTCCTAATCAGACATCCCCAGACTCAGTCCCGTTCCCTTAGTTCTTCTCCACCCCAAAGACAGTCTTACAGCACCATTGGCCAAAGTCCCCAAACCAGTTCTGCTCTGTGCTTCCACTGCCTCACCTCCATCACTCTCCGCCCCTCTCAGACATATGGTAAAGGCCTGAGGAGCAGCTGCTGTAAAGCTGCTTCTCCCGGACCATGGGGCAGGCTGGGGCTCTGCCTGGCTGTCCCCATCCAACACAGAAGCCTCAACAGCGCTGTGATTACCAGCAAGTTTTCCGAGCAGCCCTCCCCGGCAATCCTAGGTGCTAAGGCAAGCAGCCAGTCCACCCCCCAGCTGTCACTGCAGAAGCCTTTTTTGCCTCTTGCAGGGACTTCTGGGAGACCACTGCGGGCACCAGACTGTGCCTCGGCTCATTGTGGAGAAGGAATTCGAGGCCCTAGCTCTGCAGCTGTCAGGGGACTCTACCCAGCTCATGACACAGTGGTACCGGCGGGACGAGAACACGCTGCCCACCTGCTATGTGCTGCAGCCGGCTGACAGGCAGGCCTGGCATTGCCTGGAGAGACGTCTGGCCTCAGCGCCGCGCGTGGCAGCCCAGAAAAGCAGAGAGGTGTGGGCTGCTCAGCCCAGAGCAGAGGCACTGCTACCACAAATCAGGTGTGTTCTGGCAGGGCTGTAATGTCCTTCTAACCAGAGCTGTCAGGGAGGATAGCTGTTTGTTTCTAGACAACACCAGATTGTATATAACAGGAAAGACGCAGGGAAGGAAGAGACTTGCTAACTATCTGCCATATCCCAAATCCTGAGGAGGGAGGTTGGTGCTGACTAGCAAACAATAATACACCAGACAGAAATGTTTCTCCTTTTTCTCCCAATGTCCCTGCCCACATCCAGAAGTATCCCTAGCTCAGAGGACATGGGCAATACTGACCTGCTAGCATCATGTGAAATAGAGAAGGACCAAAGGATGTCACATTAATGTTGATGGATGCCTTTTCATGTGTTCTGTTCTGAAACTGAATGCTCACACCTCCCCCCTTTTTTTTTTGGTAGCAATTGAATGGGAGATTGAACAGGGTCTCCTCAATACCCAGGAGAGCAACCCAGGGGCTTTCATATTCCTCAGAGAGGGTGAGGATTCCAACAGACAAATTGGGCAAGCAACAAACAGTGAGCTGTTAGAAGAGGAGGACAATCTGGACAGCGAAGCAAAACAGCTGCTCAGCGACCTTAAAGCAAAAATTGCAAGCCATTATCCCGAACACCTCAAAGTACACACACTGGCATACAGTAAAGACTCTGGGAACCCTCGGTGCAAGGAGAGTAATAAATACCTGAAACAACTTTGTGAGCAGTTCACTGCTGTCACTAATCACCAGGCTTTAGAGAATCTTCGATACTGAGGAGAGATCAGCGAGAAGCCAGGGTGACTTCTGCAGGAGCTGGGCCACCACACAGCTCTGTGCCTGAAGAACTGCAGATTTTTCTGTGGGAGGCAGAATTTATCAGATAGCATTTTTCACCGTATTAGGCAGAACAATGATAAAACCCACACAACCCTCACCCTTTATGGGCTGCCAGGCTGTGGAAAAACAGCTGTGATGTGCAAACTATCTGAGCGGGTGCAAGCTGTTTTAGGGCAAGACAGTGTAGTTGTGATTTGTTTGCTGGGGACATCCCAGCTCAGTTCTGCCATTCAGAGCCTGCTGAGGGATGTTTGTCTCCAAGTGTGTTTAGCATTTGATTTACCACCACCTCCAAGCCAGACCAAACAGGCTTGCAGTGATTTAGTCTTGTTCCTCAGTAAACTCCTCCTCACTGTCTCCCATTGTGGCACACAGACACTGATGGTGTTCCTTGACTCTGTGGAAAGATTACTTCCTAATGACGGTGCTCACACATTCTGCTGGCTCCCTACAGACTGCCCTCCAAAGGTTCACATCATCATTTCCATTTCCACAGCAGAGCCTGATACTCTGAAAGCTCTCCAACACGCTGTGTCTGAGGCTGAAGCATACTCTGAAGTAGGACCCTTATCCTGTGAGGAAGGCGAGGAGATGCTAGAGATGCTCTTAGCATCAGACACACGATGGCTAAGCCCAGCTCAAGGGGTCTATTTCTATCAGAGCTTCCCTAGTGGTGGGCAAGCCCTGCTCTTCAAGCTGGCCTTCCATGAGGCCAGAAAATGGTTATCTTACACTTCACCTTCAGAACTAGTAATTGCTAGCACAGCCCAGGATGCCACACACCGTCTGTGCGAGAGACTGGAAAAGTCACACGGCACAGTCCTTGTGGCTCACGTACTTGGCTATATTGCTTCCTCACGGTGAGTACTGCTGTATCTCTGATGTAACAGCCCATACCTCCTGCTGTTCATAGGGAATATGTCTAAATACAGCCAAACCCAATCAAAGCTCTCAGTTCTTTGAGCCTGTGAATGTGTTCATACATATATTTAGCAAGCATAACATTCCTCTCATACCTGGCAGCCTACCTAAAACATTGTCTTGAAGGGAGATGTTCTGGGATTACTTGGAAAAAGAAATCAATCTCCATGGCTTATGCAGTGTCTAAGCTCTCAGCTGAGACTGCCATGTGTGCATGTGAGCTAGTGAGATTTTTTGGTGACTAGTACTTCTGAACTGCCAGAGAAACCACTCACCCTCCCACTATGGATACCACTGTAAACAGTAAGGAGGAGGATAAATAATTTCCTTTTATATCTCACACTTCACTTGCAGAAATGGGCTGTCAGACACAGAGCTGAAGGACATTTTATCCCTTGACGATGAAGTTCTCTCAGAGATTCACCACTGTCACATTCCTTCAAGTAAACCTATCCTGCACCTTCTTCCTCTCCGCTGGGCACGGCTACACAGTGACATGGGAGAGTGCCTGGCAGAATGGAAGGCAGATGGCTTCACCCTTCTTTGCTCTGCACACAGGTACATTTAGAGAGCCGAGAATGAGAAGCCAAACCTCTGAGTATGGGATGTTCCCATCCTGGGCTTTCAGGCACCCTGCCTAGAGTCCTCCCCATTCTTAAACTCTGTCAGTGCTGAGATTAGAAAAAACCCAGCTCCAGCTCCCTGTTCCGGTACATCTATTACTTTTTCCCTTCCCAGGCAAATTGTTGAAAAGATGCAGATTCATTATTTATCAAAACAAGACCAAATCAAGAGGCATTTTCTCCTGGCAGATTTCTTCAAGGGGACTTGGAGCTGGGGAACGAAGAAACCTCTCACATTGCCACACCTTAGCAGGACTTTGAATGCTGACAGGAAGGTGAGGACTAACAGCAGGCATTTCCATACCTGTAAACTCTGGACCAGGGCTCTCTCTCTCCAGACTGTTGGACAGGGTCTGAAATCAGAAGATGATGAAAATAACAGTAAATAACACTATTCAGTGCGTTCAACAGTGACAAAGATATATATTGGTTTTTTTTAATAGGTATCTCTAACCAAGGAGCTCTAAAGTAATTTTACAAACTGTCACACAGTCTTCATATATGTAAAAGGCTACTGCAACAAGGAAGGAAGTCATTTATTATTCACATCTGCAGAAAGGCAGCCTGCCTTAGATTGTCGCAAGAGAAATTTAGAGTCATGAAAAACATTTCCTACTAACAGGAAAACAGTGAAAGTCCTGGAAGTGCTGTCTGGCATACCATGAGATAGCATCTAGCACTGAAGTTGTGAAAGCAAACACATTAATCCACACACCATGTCTCAAATCCACTGTTCTGGTTACTCCTAGGTAGCCCCTCAGCCACTCTGGTTCTCTGATACTGTTGCAAATCTGAGGAAGTTGAGTGAATTGCCATTTCATTTACTTAAAGCTGGATGAATTGAGGAGCTAAAACAGGATGTGCTGGGTAAGGCCTGGGCAAGAGGGAGTGCTCTGCAGAGGCATGCTTCATGCTTACAGCCACAGGTAAGAATCACAACCTTTTTGCACAGCATCAATAACCGCTGTGAGAAAGAAGCTCGAAAGAGAGAAATAAGCTGACTTTTATGAACTGTTATCCTAGAATTATCACCACAGTCCCTTAGTAGCTGAAAGAAATTATCTAGATCCTCCAAATGCTGAGAAGAAAACATATTAAAAAACATAACAAATTTTAAAAAAAGAAAATACACAGAGCATTTAAGAGGCTAAAGAAGGAACTGTGACAATGGGAGCCCTCCACTTCCTCAGCATATGAGTCCTAGTTCCACTGCTAGTGGCTGTAAATCCTTCTATTCCTTCCTTCCCCAAAAAAAGCATTTTTTAATCTCAGTTTTTTCAGAATAACTGTGCATTCTCAGGGCTGATATTCTCTGCTCTAATAGTGTTTCTTTCTGCAGGAAATATGAACTGGATCAGCTGTAAAATAATTGCCTCTGGAATAGAGAGTGTTGTTGATGACTTTGCCATGTGCACTGAATGCATCAGCTGTCCAGAACTACGCCTTGTGCAGGACATACTTCTCCTTTTCAAGCCTGCAGTCAGCAGTATACACAGCCCTGAAGGTAACAACTATGTCACAGTGACAGAGCATGACACAAATGTTTACCAGAAGAAAGAACTGAAGTTTTCCTTTCCAAGCAGTACTTTTCTGAGGAATTAAAACCAGTGACAAAATTCTCTGTTCTGGGATCCATCAAAAGACTCATAAATGCCTCATGCTGGTAGGGCCTTTGTATGGGAAGCTGAGGTTTCTTCTTTGCCAATAGACACTTTGTATATTTGATTAGAGCAGTTCACCACAACCAAAGTGCCTGTTGCCCCACGTCTAGTAGAAGTACCTGTTAGCTATTTGGATTCCCTTGCAGCTTTAAAGTTAACTAGAGGAGACGGCACACAGTGCTGCTCCTCTGTCCTCTCCTCAGAACACCCACTCCTCCCTCAGGGGAAAAATCCTGCCACACCACTACATTTCCCCATATTTTACACTGTAACCTTCCTTGTATTACTCAAGTGCCTGGCCAGAAAAGGCAGCTCAGTTCACTACATACTGCACATCACATAAAATACAACTATGGTAGCTCTCACAGGCCTACCAGAGTCATGTTCTAAAATGCTTTTTTGTCTCTGCCCTCTTAGGAGTGAGTATAATATACACAGAAATGTTGGCCAGGCTTCTTTTTTCGTGCCTTCTTACCCAGAGGTAATCGGGAAGCTGTGCCAGCAGTGTCTAAGCTGGTGCAGTGTCTGTCCCTATCCTGTTCTCATTCCACTGTGTGGATTTCTCCAGCCACCTGGTGGGGCCCTACATAGAACGCTCACCAGATTCCTCAAAGGTAGGATTAGTCCTGGGGGCAGATACAGCCCAAGAATATATCTAATCATCCATCTGTAATGAATGAGATCCAAGAAACATAATAAATAAACAGAGCAAGAAGGAGAGAACATCTATTTATGTAGAGATACAGTTTTGCCTGTGAGCTTACACAAAGGCAGGACAAAGGTCCATTTGCCTTTGTGCTCAGTCATGCACCAGTCCCATTTGCAATTGCTTCCACAAATGAGGAAAAAGTGGGTCATTTTGTCATCAAGACAACAAAAGCACACACTGACCTAGATATGTCTGAGGGAACCTAATCTTGCTCTTGGCATAGACTATGGGGTTCAGGCAGTATAGGGGGGTTCCAGTTGGGGAAACATAGCATATTAACAATCTCAAAATGTCTCTTTTCTGTCTGTGGTATAAAGAACAGCCTTTCCTCTTTGTGTCTCATGGTAGGTGTCACAGTGATAGCACTTAGTTCTGATTACCGGCTGCTGGTGGCAGGTTCCCACGATGGCTCAACGCTTGTCTGGAATATGGAAGTTTTTGAGATGCTGCACACCCTTCCTGAGCACTCTGGTGAGCCTTCTCCACTTTTTATGGTTGGAAAGCTCTTTTCATGTCGAAAAGAGCTCTGACAGCTTGGCAATCCTTGAGCTGTAGGCACACAGACACCTCCCAGCTGCCAGCATTCTCCCAATTGCTGAAAGCACTGAGAATCCCTCATTTTGTGAATCCTCGTCTTATTTTATAGCTGAGGTGAGGTGTGTGAAAGTGTTTGGAAAAGGAACCTGTGCTGTTTTAGCTGCCATCGATCACACTCTGCGCATCTGGAATTTGATTTCTGGCAGAGCAAAGTTTATCATCCAGGATACACATATCGAAGAACAGCCCTCACATCACCCTCATGTGGATGAGGGGCATATGATTGTATATTCTTCCTCAGATACAAAGGTATGGCCAGTCTTTAACTCAAAGCATGCTGAAGGAACAAGAACTTTAGAAGTTACAGTACCAATCACAAAGGTTGTAGACATAAAAGCTAGCTCAGTCCCTGCTAGTGCTATCTCTTTTGCCACCTCTTTATTAGGTCAATGCTTGGCACCTGGAGACAGCAGAACTCATCTTCCAGATTTCTGGAGAGGCATCAGATGCATGGATGTGTTCTGCAGTGTTCAGCCCAAGGCTGGTGATTATGACTGTGTCTGAAGGAGGAATGCTGAGTCTGTATAACAGCAACACTGGCGAGCTGAGATCAAATGTCAGCTATCAGGGCTACAGGAAGAAACACCAACATCCAGTGTTCTGATCCAGAAGCAAGGGAAGATGATAGTGGGATTTAGCGGGGGATCTCTATCCATGGTACACATCTATCTGTTCAACTTTCTTACAATATTTCTTGTATTTTCTTACAATATCCAGAGGTCTACTGAGCCAGACAACAGATCTGGTAACCAATGGGCCTTCCTTCTCCATTCTGAATAGAGCATCCTCCTCAGAATTCCATATCCTAGTTCCTAAGTGAACAAGCATAACACTTTCTATCCTGCTGCACTTCATAGCTTTGCCCAATACCATGTGGCCAAATTAAATGTCACTGCTAATCCATACTCTTTCCTTCAGGAGAAAGGCAGCTCAGCTATCCTAACTTCACGTCTTATTCTTGCCTTATTTTTGTGCAGATCTCTTCTGATGGAAACAGTCTGCTAGAGAAGCTTCCTGGAAGGGTTCGCTTTGCGATGATGTCAGAAGATGAGTCTATTCTTGCTGCAGGTTCAACAGCACCCATTCCTTAGGAAAGTGTTGGTAATAGCTGCTCTCCCACATGCCAAGTGTCCTTTAAAAGGGGTCAGCATGTGGTATTTCCCATTAGCCTGGCCTTATTTAACTATTGTGCTTAAGGGGGTAACAAAGATTGGGTAAAACTCTCTTCGTGAGGAGTCAGAACATTTCCTGTGTACCAGGAGTCCTTTCTCAAGGGAATAAGTGAGATGTCAGTAGTGAAAAGGACTTAAACTGGCATGATTATTTTTTACAGTTTCTAAGCTACCGTTTGGGCTTACCTTTAAAGAAATATAGGAATTAAATCATATGCATAAGGACATGGTGTTGAAGGGGATTAGAGACTTCCTCAGCTCAAAAAATCAGTAACTAACATTTTCTTGTTTTAGGCTTTGAGGAGTATGTGCGAGTGTACCTGGCAAATCCAAAGGGATTCCACAGGGTCCTACCGGCAGATTTGAAACATGAAGGAGTGGTTCATACAGCTGTTATCTCTGCTGGCAACAGCATTATTGTTACTGGTTCTCAGGCTGCATCTATCCAAGTAGGGAGGGAGGAAAGCTGGGCATCTTCCCAATCAGAAGCATCTCTTACAGATCCGGCTTACAGAATATGCCCCTGAGCCAGTAAAAGGGTCGTCTTGATCCCTAGCAACCTGTCTGGGGGCTGGATTTGCAGTTCTGAGCATGTTTCTAGTACTGCCACACTTCTAAAAAGAAGATGACCATTGACCCTTCCTCTTCATTGCTTCAAGCCTTTCTGTTCTTTTATTTTTGACACTGAATGGAGAGCACTTTATCAGTTCAGGGGGCAAGCCTCAAGCCAGTGTATGCCTGAGGCCTGAAATACTATTTCATTTCTGAAATATTTTAAGTTTGAACTCCTAAAACCTGCCTTGTTACCCATCTGTGAGCAGGAGCCAGATGGAATACACATCTGGAGCACCATGTCTTGCCAAAGAAAGAGGTAAACAGCCAGAACAGTCCAAAATGTGCAGAATCTAATTAGGCATCTTTCAGAGCAAAGGAAGCAAGTGGGCTGAATGGCTCCAGGTGCTTCAAACATTTGTTTTAGAGTAAGAATGCAATGTTTTGCCTTCTAGTATTAAGATGTTATTCTTTGACTTATGTTTCTGTACAAGTTAGTTAAGGTATATTCTTCTACCTTTTAAATAGGACTAAGGAAAAAGTCCTTTTTTTGGACTGATGACTTCTCCCCCCCCAACTTTTCCCAGGTGTGGAGTTTATTAAACCAGGGGTTGCTTACTGACACACTGGATGGCATGGGAGCATTGGTAACACTCTTAGACCTGTGTGACTGCACTTTGGTTTCTGCCTCCCACAGCGCACCTTATCTAGGAGTGTAGAACCTCATTTACAATCATCGGCAGAAAACCTTGGCACCTGTCCCAAATACAGGCTGCACTGCACTGTCCTATGGGGGGAACTATGTCTATTTTCCCCAACCTGAAGACACACAGAAAGTCATCATCTGGAACACCACAGAAGGTGAACTGCATCTCAGAAATACTGCATTAAATTAAGTCTGCATGTAGGGTAGGATAGAAACAAAACAACTCACAGACGCAGCAAAGGCAGGGTTAGCTTTCTGAGCATATGACAAGCATAGTCTGCTCCTTTCTGCTTTTTCTGAGCATGAAATTTGTTTCAGGCTTGGAGAGCTTTTTCATCTCGTCTCCAAAGTTTTTGTCTAGAATAGCTTATTATTATGACATGGGAAAACTGGAAATGTGAATAATATGCAAAATATTTCACAAATAAAGAAGCCAATCATGAGACCCATCTGAGGGAAGACATTCACGTGCAGTTGGAATAAGAACAGTCTTGCCGATTTCCTTCTGTTTTACAGGTGAAGTGCGTGACACACTGGACACCTCTGCCCAAGTGAGATGCCTGGAAATAGCTGAACAAAACCAGCTCATTTTCATAGGGCTTGTATCTGGAACAGTCCTTGTCTTTTCACTGAACTCCAGGCAGGATGTAGCATGCATCCCCACCTCCAGAGTCACAGAAACCAGTCAACGACATGGCAATCAACAAACAGGAAAAGCAGCCATAGCTTGCCGTAGCATATGATGATTTAGTCCTTGTGCTGGATATTATGCCTGCAGATCCATGCCCAGTGATCGACAGGCCCACCTACACCTTTAAAACTCAGATCCCTGGCTCTCTGATTTCTCACGTGGCTGTCCTTGCAGATTACAGAGTCCTCTACGGCATGACTAGCGGGGACTTATTCCTTTACGACTGCCCTCAGGCCCAAGTGTTTCCTTTGGAAGGTCACAGAAGCCAGATCTTCTGTCTGGAAAGCAGCCACGGAGAGCAGCAAGCACTCAGTGGATCTGAAGATTCCCTGCAGCGTCTCTGGGACTTGGAGTTCTGTCAGCAGGAACACAAGATGTGCTATTACAAGGTACTACCGTGGTAAGACAGTATCAATAGTCAATTACTGCCCTGAGCTGTCAGGGAGGATCTAACTGACAGGATTCCCAGCTCTTAAAGAGAATACCCAGATCCTGTACACAGCTGTTCAAACTGACAGGCAGCAAGCTATTCTCAGCACCTAGGTCTGATTTTAAAGCATCCTTACATCTAGATACACTATCAAGGGGTCAATGCTGTCTAAGTGAATGAGTACTGTTAACACCACTCTGACACTAAACGCAGGTCATAGGAGTTATTTATCTACAGCTTATTACTGCTCATTTAGCTGGTGTAAGCTAGAAGACACAAATCAGTGAAGAGAATGAGACTTCTCAAGTTAACAATAGCAACAGAAGGGGTAAATTGGGCCAGTTCAGCAGCATCCAGTAGGGGGGAAAAAAATGATGGTGGAGGCTGGATCACTGCTGTTACTCTTTTACCTGACAATACACTATGGACACGTCTGAGCTACTCCTTTCCATAGGTGGAATAATGGGGTTTTGTACAGTCATACTAGGCTCTCTTTCCTGCACAGCTATAGAGTGCTTCACAAGCTAGGGGCTTTATTTTGTGATACCTCCCATCCTCCTTCCAGGATCACTCTTGTAAAAATCTTTACTTATTACCTCTATTCTTAACCATTGAATAACAACTGAATATTTTAAGGCATCTTCACTTCAACCTGTATTTATCAGCATAACAATCTCATTCTAACCACCCATTTTCAGCCCACATCTCTCCTGAGAGGCATTTGCTGTGCTTGCTTCTCAAAAGATGATAAGTACTTGTACACTGACTGGGTCGCTGGATCAGTTCATTACAGTCTGGGATGTTGCAAATGGTAAGTAATTGTGAAATGCTAGCAACAACAAGAAAGTCTGTACTCCCTGCTGTACTAAATAGGCTTGTAGCATCCTTCATGTTGCAAGGAGGGAAACATGCCATACAGCAACAGTTTGTACAAGTATCAGAACAGAGGCTGGAATACCAAATCCAGAGGTAACATATTCGCATTGTGACTGGAAGCTGCAATTGCAAGACTACTGTTGGAGTATTCCAGCACACAGCAGAGAAATACATTCTGGGTTCAAATACCAGCAGCGAGTTTAAGGGCAAAGCAAGAAAGGTTTCTGTAAGTTTCCATTATGCAAATCTTCTATAATGCTTTAAGGAGAAACAAGCAGCACGGCTGCCTTTTTCCCCTCTCCTCCTTGCTCTTCTATGTGACCCAATTTTACTGCATTCAAATTGTCTGGTGACAAGGGACCATTTGAGGGAAGTGGCATATTTTAAGTCCAATCCTACTACACAGTAAATGCTTTATTCTGAGCTTGGTTTCCACAGGTGCCTTGCTGGCTGTACAGTGTGTACACACAACTGCTAACAGAATTGTACCAACTGCAGATGGATTTGTTGCAATAACAAAAGTTGGTTATATAATTTGCAAGAAGTTTCACTGTCCTAAGACCATCCCTGCTCGGTATAATCCACTCCAGAACATTGTGGCAACGGGTATGGTAAAATCCAGAAAGAAAGACAGGGAAAACTCAAGCAAGCAACAGTACAACCAAGGAAATTCTTCTGGGAGCCTGATTCATACCAGCAAACTCTCTCAAATCTGTTCAGTGATGTAAAAAGCAAAGATGAATACAATAAACCAGCATAAACACCCAGGACTGAGTTTGCAGGTTTCTCTTTCTATCCTTTTGCCTCAGTGTCTCAGAATTACAATATTAAACATTGCTGAAAACTCCCTCTCTGTGGTTGTTCAGAGTCTATTGATACTTTTGCACAACGCCACTGCTGTTGCGTACCATTCGTAACCACTTAAGGAAGGTAAATAAGGAAGGAAAAAAAAAACCGGACCCTAAACTCACACTTTATCCAACCGCACCAGAGCAGGCACCAGAACTCAGCCTGCCCCCTTGCTCGCAGCCCACCCGGCTCTCGCCACTGCGGCCTGCCCGCGCCCCACCTCGGCTCTCCCCCTCCCGCGAAGGCCACCCGTTCCCGGCACAGAAACACCGGATTTTGGGGCCGCCGTTACCCCCTTAGGGGTTCGGCTCCAGGCC